GATCACACATCAGCTGCTCAAAAAATGTGTCAGTGAGACGAACTGAGCGCGAGCGCAATCCTGTGACAGTCACTGCACGCGGTAAATAGTGCAGCGCGTGAAGGAGAGATGCGAGGGCACGAACACTGTTCAAGGTCTCCATTAATTCCTGCTTGTAGTCATTTAATGTGTATATATTTTGAAAGCATTGAATCGCTATAGAAATCGCGATTCATTCGATTCTTAGAGTTTTAAATCGATTACTGCCCGAAATCGACGATTCACGATTCAAAAATCCATTCAAGATCGATGCATTGCATCGTCAGGGTTGGTAATCGATGCATCGAGAAAACGAGTGAATCATTACACCCCTATAAACAGAGGTGTGACGTGCATTCTTTTCGGCTCATTAAAAATAAATCTTGATGCAGCGTTCTGGATTCAATTTAAAGGTTTGATAGAACTGGCTGGAAGACCTGCCAAGAGAGCATTGCAATAGTCCAGCCTGGACAGAACTAGAACTTGAGTTGTGAAGAATGTTCCAAAAAAAGGGCCTGATCATTTTGATGTTGAATAAAGCAAATCTGCAGACCCGGGTAGTTTTAGCAATGTGGTCTGAGAAAGTCAGCAGATCATCAATCATAACTACAAGGTTTCTGGCTGTTTTTGAAGGAGTTATAGTTGATGTGCCTGGATGGTGAAATTCTGATGAAACAATGGGTTTGATGGAACCCAACCCTCTACATTGCGAGTAAATCACTCGCATATGCGACTAAATCTTCACTATGGGCAACTAAATGATGTCTAATATTAGCCAATGGCTAATAAATTCTCAGATTTCACTCGCCAGTGTGTGAGTTGGAGGCTAAGTAAAAGTTTAGCACAGATATATTTTCACTCACAGAACACTCTGACTGAGCGCTTCCGAGTTTCTCTCTCCGTCAAGCGATCTATGATATTTTTCAGTTCATCTCAATGGATGCGCAGCGCACCTGTATTTGACGTACCGTGAACTCTAGTGTAACGGCACACGACTCGCCATCGCTTTGGTGAGAGCAGAGAGTGCGCGAGAGAGTCTTACATGTAAACTATATTCTTTGTTTTATTTTCCTGTCAAAATAACGGAGTTCCTTTGGAGAAACACTGAATGACCAAAAAAGAACCACCACCAGTCCTAAATTCAGTTAAAATGTCTTCATACATAGTTACCAAGTTTTAATTCTAATTACTAAATTTCTATCATTAAATAATACTTATAATATATAATAATATCTTATTATATTGTTTGACTGACTGATGTTGAGTGTACTTTCAGATATTTCAAAAGCTGTGCCATTTTACAAACATATACAGTATTATACAATATATATATATATATATATATAGATAGATAGATAGATATACAGTAATAACAGACAGCTCTGACAACAAGTTTCTGTCCGCGTCACCGCGTGTGCGCGAGTGCGTGTCTGTCTGTACTGTGTCTGTGTGTACGTCTGAGAGAATGGGAGAAAGAAAGCGTGATTTCTGTACATAAAAAAGGTTGAAGACATGGAAATAGTTTGTCATTTTTACCCTATTGTTTGTTATATTTATTTGCTCAATGTCTTCTGGGGTTTTAGTTCTTTTACTGTTGTAGATAGCCATAGTATAACAAAAATATTATATATCTCTTCATTGTGTTTGGGCCCCCCCTGGACAAGCAAGCATAGGCATGTGGCTAGAATGCCTATGCGTAAATCCGGCCCTGACCAGAAATAACTGTTGTATAAATATATAGTATATTAGATTTACATAAGATCAATAAATATAAGATCATCTGTGGAGTGAAATGGATTCCAGTGCACACAGAGACTGTCACCTGACTGTTTATTTATTTATTTTTTAAAAAGCGATATGCTAGGTGTGATAAGAAAGTAGTCCAAAGACCTGTGAATCAAAGGGTTCTTGTTGACATCTTAGAGTTGACAATCAGGGCTGTTGCTGGGAAGGAGTTGGTGACATTTATCGGGGCCCCCAGTTGATTGGAAAATGTACTAAAAGCCCAAACAAACTGTAAAATCAAAAGGTTCCCTTTTTATCTGCATTATTGTGTTGCAGCATCTGCAATTTATACACAAGAGGGCGCCAAAGGCCAGTGCAGCTCACATTGATGGTTCATGATTTGAAGCATCTTGACTGCTTTTCATTCACAAACATTACAGCTGAAGCTTCTCCAATTTATTTGTTCAGTGCTGAATAAAAACCACAGAACACAGGTGAGCTTAGTCATGTAAATAGTGCAATGACTTTATATCGCCAGTTATTTTAGGTGTAGTCACAGCCATCAACAAAATGCATAGAGACTGTGAAAAATACTATGGGTGGACTTTGGGAGTTGGTAATATTGGGGGCTACTCTTACAATATATATATATTTGGTAAATACTAAAATTAAACAATACCACTGGAGGTTTATTGCATATTGCAATTGTGCAGAGCACAATTCAAACACAGGATTTTTAGGGGCTGAGTTGACAAGCTCTTCTGGGTGTGTCTATGGGATGGCCTGTTGCAGTGGGTTTAGCCACCACTGTGTTCCCAGACTGCACAATGGTGGGAACTTTGGGAGGGTAGCTCTGCAGTTGGGTGCTATTTTTAAACACTACATCCACAATCTGTCAAGGCCTACTCCACAGAGACCTGCCACCAGCAGTCTCCTCAAGCCACGGAATTCAACCCGGGACAACTCTCCAGATGTGATGGAAAACATCTGGTCTGAGCTGCACATAGGCAAGGGGGATCTCTCTCTTTTGCAGTGCAGCAGCGTCTACTAATAGCGAATCTTCAATTTGAACTGCTTCAAGAACTTTGCTACTGAGAAATGTCATGTAGCTTTTCAGCTACGCAACTATTTTATTGATAAATTCGCGGGGCAGCGCTGACAACAAGTTTCTGTCCGCGTCACCGCGTGTGCGCGAGTGCGTGTCTGTCTGTACTGTGTCTGTGTGTACGTCTGAGAGAATGGGAGAAAGAAAGCGTGATTTCTGTACATAAAAAAGGTTGAAGACATGGAAATAGTTTGTCATTTTTACCCTATTGTTTGTTATATTTATTTGCTCAATGTCTTCTGGGGTTTTAGTTCTTTTACTGTTGTAGATAGCCATAGTATAACAAAAATATTATATATCTCTTCATTGTGTTTGGGCCCCCCCTGGACAAGCAAGCATAGGCATGTGGCTAGAATGCCTATGCGTAAATCCGGCCCTGACCAGAAATAACTGTTGTATAAATATATAGTATATTAGATTTACATAAGATCAATAAATATAAGATCATCTGTGGAGTGAAATGGATTCCAGTGCACACAGAGACTGTCACCTGACTGTTTATTTATTTATTTTTAAAAAAGCGATATGCTAGGTGTGATAAGAAAGTAGTCCAAAGACCTGTGAATCAAAGGGTTCTTGTTGACATCTTAGAGTTGACAATCAGGGCTGTTGCTGGGAAGGAGTTGGTGACATTTATCGGGGCCCCCAGTTGATTGGAAAATGTACTAAAAGCCCAAACAAACTGTAAAATCAAAAGGTTCCCTTTTTATCTGCATTATTGTGTTGCAGCATCTGCAATTTATACACAAGAGGGCGCCAAAGGCCAGTGCAGCTCACATTGATGGTTCATGATTTGAAGCATCTTGACTGCTTTTCATTCACAAACATTACAGCTGAAGCTTCTCCAATTTATTTGTTCAGTGCTGAATAAAAACCACAGAACACAGGTGAGCTTAGTCATGTAAATAGTGCAATGACTTTATATCGCCAGTTATTTTAGGTGTAGTCACAGCCATCAACAAAATGCATAGAGACTGTGAAAAATACTATGGGTGGACTTTGGGAGTTGGTAATATTGGGGGCTACTCTTACAATATATATATATTTGGTAAATACTAAAATTAAACAATACCACTGGAGGTTTATTGCATATTGCAATTGTGCAGAGCACAATTCAAACACAGGATTTTTAGGGGCTGAGTTGACAAGCTCTTCTGGGTGTGTCTATGGGATGGCCTGTTGCAGTGGGTTTAGCCACCACTGTGTTCCCAGACTGCACAATGGTGGGAACTTTGGGAGGGTAGCTCTGCAGTTGGGTGCTATTTTTAAACACTACATCCACAATCTGTCAAGGCCTACTCCATAGAGACCTGCCACCAGCAGTCTCCTCAAACCACGGAATTCAACCCGGGACAACTCTCCAGATGTGATGGAAAACATCTGGTCTGAGCTGCACATAGGCAAGGGGGATCTCTCTCTTTTGCAGTCATTTGTACTTTTATGTTAAAAGATGTGTTTATAGAAACTACATTTCCATGTGTTTTAGCATCTTATATTGGGGTAACGAGGTTGTCAACTAGTTAAATGGTTGAAAACGTATACTGTTCTTCACCCAAGTTTAAAGTTCAGTCCCAGATAGAAAGGATCCAGTAAACCAGTGGGTGGAGCTTTGCCCAATCCAGGTATACTGCATGGCTACTTTGGTGCATTCATGTGTCTTATTTACTTGCTAATACAGATTATATATTAGGAATTTACAATCATCATAATTTATATTTTACACAATATATCATTTACATTTTATTAAAAAAATAAGCTAATTGTATGAACAGCTGTTCACACTGAGAAATGTGAAACGTTTAATACTGATTTACAAACAAAACAATTTTGAACATTCTACATTGATTCACTCATCTTTGTCAGAACACTTTCAAATCAACAAACCACACTGATTATCCAAAGTAATTTATTCATTGCTTTAATTTAATAAAAATGATTACTTGTCATTTATTACACTTAGTATTTAATGAAACATTTCCATGTTTTCATGTCTTTCAGAACAGGTTACATTTAGGCACACAACAATGCATACAATTATTTACCTC